AAGGGATGACCTACTTCTGATGCTCAACCAAACTGTAATAGGATCGGGGACCTGGCAGGGCTCCGGCGGGCCCTATGTGGCCCAGCGCCCACGGCCCGAGCTCTGCTCCCCGATTCCCAGGTCCAGGGCAGCCCCTCACGGCCCCCCAGCTGATGGGCCGCTCAGAAGTTTCCAGATCTCAAGCAGATCTTGAGAAAATTGGAAGAGCCCGAGGATTTCTCCTGTGTTATGGTTGTACGGTTTCCCAGACTCAAGCAGAGACATGATCTGGGCTCTTCTGGCAATCGCACGGCCCGTTCCTGTTTCTGCAGACTTTTCCAGTTTCAGTTTAGGGCAGGCAAGAGAAAGAGGGTGCGGAACAGGTGGACACACGTTCTCTGTGTGTGTCCTAAGGTCTAGAGCTCTCTGGTGGCCCATCAGCCACCAGAACACCCAGCAAGGCGTCGCGGGCGAGGGGGGTGAGCCCGGAGGGGCGGAGACCCCGCCGGTGTCAGAAGTGTGGTCTCCCTCCAGTTCCCTCGGCCTCAGTTTCCTCTTGAGACAAATAATGGTTTCAGAGGAAACCACTTGCAAGGCTGTTCCAGGCCTAACTTTGTATAAATAGCCCTTCTCGAAGACTCAGGGCTGCCTCAAGGCCCATAAATGTTAAATAATTTCAATGTTTCCAACGCAGACGAGGGGAGAGGCCGCCCGCCCACCCGCACTTGGGAGGCATCCAAACAGACAAGAGACATCAGAGCTGGGGGATTTCTCCTGTGAGAGAGAGAGGCAGGGTCTCTGATTGCTTTGAATTTCTGGCTTTGTGTGATCTCAGTGTATTTCGGCTGTGACGTTTCTGAGGTTTCTATGTGCCCAGAGGTGTGTTAGACACCCCTGGAGTGGCCAAAGAAGGGAAGGTCCAGGCCCTCGGACCAGAGTGCTCCCCGCCCGGGCCGAGGCAGCGGGAGCAGGTGTGGGGAAGTCGAGGCAGTAAGTAAGCCCCACCTCCCTGCGTCTCACGTGGCACCCGGAGGGGCCCAGGGAGTCAGCTGACAAGCTTGCAGGCAATGCGAAGCCTGTTCCCTTAAAGAACTACAAGATGCCAGATCTGGGGTCCATCAGGGAAAGAGAAGGTGGAAGGGCATCCGTGGGCCAGCGAGGGCCTGAGCAAGGGACGGGGGTGCAGAGAGCGGGAGGACCAGAGAGGCCTGTGGGAGGAGAGGCGGTGCGCAGCTTCCCCGTGAACAGCGAGGCCAGGGGAAGGGTTAAGGCCAGAAACAGCGTCGTCACGTCTGTGATCAGGAGTCTGTCCGTGCGCCCCTCGCCCCCGGCCCCGCCACCTGCCTGCTCTGTCCACACTGTCACCTCCGGGCCCTGTGGTGCCTTTTCCGGGCCCTGGCTGCACCTGCTTCTGCAGAGACAGCCCACACCCCAGCCACCCCGCAGCGGTGAGACGGGCCAAGGAGCATCCGCACTTTTCCCCTGGAGACCCGGTGATCCCTTTGGCTTCGGTTATAAAAAAGGCCACCACCCTTTGAATCCTAAGGGGAAAGAGATGGAATTGATGGGTTGAAAGAGGATTCCCTAATTCCCAGTCGGACAAAAGAGAGGCCCGGTGGTGTGCGGGGTTGAAAATGGAATCACCTTCCTCCACCCAAGACTGGCAGGAGGGTCAGAATGACGTCTGTAGTCGTGGGCCTGTGTCGGCCCCTGGGTTTGCAGGGGTGACATGGGCAGGGGGCGGGTTTTGCCAAGCAGCATGGTTCTCCCATCCCAAGACTGAGGAAGGGGCCCCGCAGACCACCCTTTCAGGTGAATCCTGGTGTCTCTCGGGGTCTGTCATCTCCGTAGATGTTTAATGTCTTCTGTCCATCGCAGAGTTGGAAGCCAGACCACCGAAAGGGCTTCTCTGCTGCGTGTGGCAGAGGCCCCCGTGGTCCCTCCAGGAGCTGTCACCTTCGCCCCCCACAGCGCTCGGGGCGAGGGTCCCAGAGCTGGTGGGCATCTCGGCATCAGGGTGCAGGGCCAAATGCAAATTCCCACTGGCCCTGCCAGCATTTTTGACCTTGAGGTGGAGTCCTTCGTGAGGACTGTGCAGTGCCCAGACGTGGTTTTCAGCCCATACTCTGCCGGTGGCGAGGCTGCCTGGGTCTCTCTGTGAAGCGACCCCCACATCCACCCAGAGGGTGTCACCCACAGATCACCTGGGAGCCCCGGCGTGCCTGTCCCCTGCACCACATGGACCTTGTCCTCCACAAGCACACGCTTGCAAACTCAAAATCCCCTGGAAACGCTCTGTCTGCCGCCCCGTCGGCCACCGCAGGGAGCCTCTCTGACCCTCTGTCTCCTCTTCTGACGCAGGAAGCCTACGTGATGGCCAGTGTGGACAACCCTCACGTGTGCCGCCTGCTGGGCATCTGCCTCACCTCCACGGTGCAGCTCATCACGCAGCTCATGCCCTTCGGCTGCCTCTTGGACTACGTCCGCGAGCACAAGGCCAACATCGGGTCCCAGCACCTGCTCACCTGGTGCGTGCAGATCGCGAAGGTGAGTCGGAGGGCGCGCGGCAGGTACGGCCTCGAAGCAGGACTCATGTCCTGGGGTGACGCGATCATTAGTGATGGCCCCAGAGAAAAAACCCCAGGGGCAAAATCAACACTTAATTCTGCATCCTGGGGTAACCGGGAGTTTGCCAAGAGTGTGTGTGTGTGTGCGCACTTGCGGACACAGCGTACACTTTTATTTGGGACCAACTGAATTGATTGTCTTTTGCATCAGATCAGCGCCCATCCCACTGCACACTGAAAATCTAATTATTCAGCGACAGTCACACGATTTTCTTTGTTGCGTGCCCTCGGTGTGGTCTGGTTTTAGCATTCTCATTCCCCTGGTTTTCTTTCCATGGTGATGTGTGGCAAAGGATGGGAATGTGGCTCTCGTCCTGTTGGGACTTGGCCAGCACACCGGGCTGAGGCTGTCGGGTGACAGAGTGGCAGGGTGGACAGGCAGGTGCTGGCTCTGAGGCCTGATGCGCTGCGGCCCGGGGTGGATGGATGCTTCTCCGGGGCTCCTTATACATCCCCCTGTGACAGCCAGATGCAGGGCGAGGGGGGGGGCCTGAGGGTGCAGACATGGCCCCACCTGTGAGCTGAGGACAGGACCATAGCAATGAGCCGGGTATTTAGCTGCTCATACGGTCATTCTTCGTCTCAGACCTCTCCCTCTGGACCCCAGCGCTGCATCCATTATTTGCAACCCAACTTGCTAAATTCTGTTTCCTTCTGGCAGCGTGTATATTTCACTCAGGTGAATGTAAGGCATCTGTGGGCACCCCTGTCAGCTCCCTCGGGCACCGGGGCTGGTAGGGGATACTGAGGGGCGTGTGGGCGCCAGGTAGGCAGGGGCCACTGGTCGTGCCCCTCACCCCAGGTCGGTAGTGCAGAAGTGGCGGGTGACTCATAAGACAAACAGACACATCTTCTGGGTGTCTCTTCGCCCGGGGCCACCCAGTACACCCCAGGATGGGCTCCTCTGGGTGAGGCAGGGTCCCTCCCGGAACTGAGGCTCTCTGCCAGGCTGGCCAGGCGGGAGGCTGCCTCCTAGGATAACACACAGCCCAGCGCTGCTCTGGTGCCGGCTGGGGTCCATTTCTCCCGGTGCCCAGGGACTGGAGATGTGCCTTCTCAGATCCCCGCCTGTCACCTGGTCACAGAACCGAGCGGTTACATGCCGTTGTGAAATGCTGGTCCTGGTGGAGCCCACATGCCCCAGACGCCGCAGTGACATGAAGATGCTATTTCTCTGCATGATTGTCTCGGTTTCCTGGGGCTGCCACCAAAATTTGCCACAAGCCTGGTGGCTCCCACAACAAGTCAGGAGTCGGAAGTCAGGGTGTCAGAAGGGCCATTGCCCCCCAAAGACTCCAGGGGAGACTCCTGCCTCCCTTTCCATTCCTGGTGGTCCAGGCGTTCCCTGGCTTGTGGCTGCACCTCTCCCATCTCTGCCTCCATCTTCACGTGGCCTCCTTGCCCGTGTCTGAGTCCTCATCACCTTCTCTCTTGAAAGACACTAGCCACCCCCTACATCCAGGATAATTTCATCTCAAGATCTTTAACTAATTAGATCTAAACCCTATGTCTGAATAAGGTCACGTTCTGGGGTTCTGGAGAGACGTGAAAATTGGGGGGGACTCTGTGCCACTCCGTACAATGGCTGATGTCGGCGGGGAGGTGGTTCACCCCGTGTAGGCTTCCCTGAACGTGGAATCATTCCTGGAGGTCTCCTCTGAGCCCAGAAGTTCTCCCTGAGTCTCTGCCCTGATTATCTGAGGCAGAAGGGTCACCGAAAGTGGCTTTCCATGTGAGGGACACAAAGCCATGCCAAGTTGTGCCCAATACAGAACTGGGTGGATGGTTTCGTGGATTCAGATCTCACTTCTGGCTTTTGTCAGGTGGTCTCTCTGCCCCTCGTCTTCGTGGCTGAAGGTGGGGCTCTGCCGTCTGTCCCCCGGACCCCACTCAGGACCTCGGGAAGCACCTGCCTCGGGCCCCGGTGCACACCCGATGCTCACTCCTCGGTTTTTCCCCCATGTGTGCCTGACCACAAGTCTCTGCATAATTGGAACTTCCTGTGACCCTCAAAAATCAGTCTTCCACAATGTGAGCTAAAAACGAAAACCCGGATCTGGCAATGCCCGCCACAGGACGAATTCAGCTCTGCCCGGGGTCCTGGTCAGGTGTGAGTTTTCCAAAGTGCCTGAGCTGCATTTCCCAGGCTTGAAAGTTTTCTCGAATAGTTCTCTGTATAATATGACTCACAATTTCAATCTGCTGTTTAAACCCACTGCTCTGCCTGTGGGACTCTGGGTTTACCTTCATCTGAAGTGAGCGTTCAGAGGATGATGTGAGATCCTTGGTGAGATGTGAAGGTGGCCAGGACGGGGCGAGAGAGGCCCTGAGGAACAACCCACAGTTCAGTCTATAACATACAATTTAATAAGGATGGACTTCAAAAGCCATTCGGTTCAAGAGATCCGTTTTTCAAATACACGGACTACTGGGTTTGGTCCAGATTCATTTGGCAAAGCCCCAGGTGTTTGCACTGCTCACAGTTGTTCGGGCTCTCGGGGCACGTGAGCAGCTGAGGGCACACACATCCCAGGGAGGGGAGGGCGTGGCCACACCCCGTGATGTTACAGGACATCCCGGCCACTTGGGGCTGGTTCGAGGTGCCATGTCATGGAGCCCATGTTGGCAAATTGCAACGTGGTCTCGATGGACGAGCAGGGGTGGGAGAGAATGAAGTTTATGCTGGAGGAGGGGCCGTCATCATCGGTCAGCCTCGCTCGGCCATCGGGAAGGAGGCCCTGACCGCTCTGTGCAGCTTCAAGTGCACAACCTCCCATCCGGGCCCAGGAGCCTGGCCCTCAGCCCCAGGGCTGCTCCCCCACCCCCGGCTTCTCTGTGGTCCAGATCAGGACTCCTAACCGTGAGACAGAAGGGGAAGGTGAGGCCCGGGGTGTTTCAGAAACTTGCCACGGTCTCAGGCTAGCAGGGAGCAAAATCGGGATCTGAGTCCAGGCATCCCTGCTCCCAGGCCTGTGCTCTCTGCCCGCACTTGACCTGGGTCAGAGGAGGACCCGCAGGCCCGAGAGCCCAGCCGTGCTGGTGCCCCGCGGCCTCTGGGCGGGACAGGGCGGTCTCATTCGTTCCTGCCTCTTCTGAGGGCAGGCGTTCGGTGGGGGGGAGGCCAGGCTTTCCTGCAGTCTCCCCAGCCCCCTGCCTACCCTCCTCCCCTACTTTCTGCCTTTGCATCTTCATCACCAAGTCAGCGCTCCTCTGGCTTCTGCACTTGGTGGCTGAAAACTAGACCAGAAGTGCGGCTCACTCCTGCCCCTCCGTCCGGGCTCTGCCCCAGCGTCGCCTGGGAAGACAGTCCGCACGTGGCAGGCCCACCCCAGGCCTTTCTTCTTCCGAGGATGCTGTTCCAGGAAAGTCTTCCGAGCCCAGCGCGCGCCCAGGACCCAGAGTGGCTCATCAAATCCCTTTTTAATCTAAGTGTTGTGACACCCACCCCGGCTCTCAGATCCTAACCAACAAAACAAATCCATTCCGCTAAATCAAAGCGAGGCTCTCCGAGCAGATTCGGGGAAATGAGTTTCCCAGAGGTCCCACGAGGCTCACACGGGTATTCCTTCCTGTGGGTGTCTGTTTGGATTCCGAGAGCTCGTGAGCCACGTCAGGGCCCTTATCTTTGGTGCCTGGTTAAAATATAACCCTGCTGGGCCCAGAGCTGGCCTTTCAAGCTGCCTCTGTAATGCGGGGCAGAGCCCAGTGAAGGAAGTTTTATCAAAGTTCAGAGGAGTCGAATCTCGCCCCCGAGTTGCCTCTGATGGAAGCCCCTCTGCGGATTAGCTGTGTGCTCCGGAATATGGGAAGTGCACTTAGCTCCCCTTTCCCAGCCTCCCCTGATGACTGCTGTTCTGAGAAAACATCCCGATTTATTGCAGTCGCTCTGGTCCTTTTAAGACCTGAGCAGTGGGGGGAAGTGGGGCAGGGGTGCACGGTGCCATCTGTTAGAGGTGACAAGGCGGTAGGAGGTCCTGCCTTGCTGGGAAGTGTCTCCTCAGCACGGCTTCCCTCCCCCTCCCCACACTCCGTCCCTAAATAACAGTTCCTAATTTGGAAGTGATATTCCAGGGGGACACCTGCTAGCTCCCTCCGGAGTGGACAGGAGCCCCTCAGACTTATGTCCCGGCACCTGAGACAGTTCAGGAAAGGAAACATTTAAGTCAAACAACAGGGGCGCGGGTATCGCTCAGTGGTGGAGCCTGTGCTCAGCATGTGTCAGGTCCTGGGTTCCATCCCCAGCCCCTCCATCAAAAATAAACAAATAGACCTAATCCGGCCCCCTCCCAAGAAAAAAACATAAATCAAATGACATCTTAAGCATTCAAGAGCTTTCTAGATAATACAAGGGGGGCATTTTCATTTTTTCCCCAAGAAAAGAAAAACGAAATGTTGCAGAAAAACGTGTTACAGCTCAGTTGTGACAACAACCTGGATCCAGGCGAGAGACCAAGCAGCACTCGGAGGGTTGGAGAACTCAGGTTTATTACCCCAGCGGGCCCAGAGGAGTTAACACTCCAAGCTCTGGACCCCGTTTGTAGGTTTACACAGGCCTTTACAGGCTGCCAGTTTTACACTTTGCAACATCATATGCAAATAAGGTCTAATGAAAGTTGACTAATGAGGAACAAGCTTTGTAGAAATGGACCAATCAGGAGGGAGAGAAATAACCAATCAGGAGTGAGCGCCATGCAAATGAAGTACTACAAAATGGACCAATCAGAAGTTAGGGAAGTGGACCAATCAGAAGTGAGCTCAGGGAACCAATAGAACTTTAGGGCTAAGTAAGCCGTTTCAGAGGCAAAAAGTGAGACAGAGCCTCTGGGCCAGGGAGCCGGGTGGTGCCGGCGGGAGAGCAGTGGCCCTGCTGGGGGTCCTGCTGGTCTTTTTATGGGGCTTCCCGCCTCAATTCAAGGCCTCAAAAATTGGCTAATTCCTGGTAGTTCCTTTATAAGATCCTGTTTCCCAGTGATGGCTAGTTTGGGGCTCTAGAAAGAAAATTTGTCAAGTTCCCTACAATACGACAAGTTCATTAATACCTTTTACCTAAGCATCTATGCAAAAGGAAGCAAAGAACTTGCCAGAAAACGTGGGATCTGTTCTTATCTGCACGTGCTCCCTGTGTTTGTGCTAAAATGGAGCTGCAGAGGAAGGCAGAGCTGTTTGAACCGGTCCGTTCCCGTTCCGTGCACTTCAGTGAGCATTTCTGTGATTCTTGCTCTGCTGGCGAGTTCGGGAGTGTCCTGGAAAGGGGGCCCACCCTCCTGGCCGGAGCGAGGAAGCGGCCGTTGTGAGCAGGTGCAGAGAATGTGGTACCGACGACACCGGGCATGTGCAGAACTGGACCCTCCTCTCCTCCTGCCCGCGGGTCTGGCCCTGCCCACAGGGGAGGGCTGCCACGCTCAGGCCGGCAGGTTAGGGCTCCCAGAGGACCCCAGGGAGCTTGGCTCACTGGGAACAGGCATCAAGCCAGGGGTCGGGGTGGGAGGTCACCCCTGCCTGTCCGGGGAGGAGGGGCAGGTGACAAAAGATGCCAAGAAGGCTGTGGAGAAGGACTGGAGTTGAGGGGTCACGCGGTCAGCCTTGCAGAATCAACCAATCATGAGTCAAACATATTTTGGGGGCAAAAAAAATCCAGAAAGCTCCAAAAAACAAAGCTGGGCACGGGCAACTGTTTACGTAGCGTTCACATGATGTTGACAGCCATGCACGTCGTGTTAGGTGTCACAAGTCATCTAGAGACGATTTTAAATATGCAGGAGGGCGTGTGCAGGTTTCTACAAATTCCGTGCTATTTTATATAAGGGACTTGAATTTCTGCAGCTTTGGGTGGGAAGGGGAGGGGGCCCGGGAACTGACCTCACGGGTACCAAGGGACAACTGCACGTCGGAGAATTCACGACGTGTCGCGGGCACTGTGCTGGCTGCTGCTCCAATATTCTTTCTTCCTCTTGCAGCCTTGATTCTAACTACAGCAGAATCGAGGAGGCAGCCGGGGAGGGGTGGGGAGTGGCACTTTGTAAAGCAAATTCAATATCCACATGACTTCAAATAAAAAGAGACAGAAAGAATAAAACAGGACAGAACTTTTCCTGGTACTGAATCCAATGAGATAGTCCAGGGAGGTGTGGGAGAGGGGGCTCCCAGCCCTGGGGCCGCGGAGGGCGGCGCCCCGGAGGCGCTGGTTGCAGGGAAGGCGAGGCCGGGCAGGTGGCACGTGGTCCAGAGCCAGGTCTCAGCCCGGCCTCTTCCACTGGCTTCATCTGAGTTTGAAACCTGAGTAACTGGACGGAGACAAGCTAGTAAGTCGGGAGCTAGTGATGCTTCATGACTCCACCTTTTCATCCGTGGAGCAGAGTCACTGTCGTCTCAAGGTGCAACTTGCTGTGTCCGTCAAGGGACGTCCCAGGGCGGTCCAGCGCCTTCCCGGCAGGGAGGGGCCCCAAGGCTGCTGCGCACGCGACCCTGAGCCCTGCACCGGGGCTCCCGCTCGATCCCTGCCCGCGCCCCCCCCTTTCAGGGCATGAACTACCTGGAAGACCGGCGCTTGGTGCACCGGGACCTGGCGGCCAGGAACGTGCTGGTGAAGACCCCGCAGCACGTCAGGATCACGGACTTCGGGCTGGCCAAGCTGCTCGGCGCCGAGGAGAAGGAGTACCACGCGGAAGGGGGCAAAGTAAGGAGCCGGCGGGGGTCGGGGTGGGGCGGGCTCGCCGAGCAGGGGCGCCCTCGGGACGACCTGGGTGAGGCACCGCGGCTGCCACCCACACCCGGGTCGAGCCAGGTTTGCTGGGAAAGTGAACAAGGTCTTCCCAACACATCGAGAAGCCAAAGGCAGTGGTGACACGATTCCAGCTGCATCTCTTGGTGACCATGGGCCACGGTTACGGGCCCTGAGAGCAGCACAGAGAGCCCCCCAGTTGTCCCCGGAGCTCCCAAGGGGCACGGGCTCTCCCAGCAGTGAGGGGCGCCACCCTCCTCTTGGACCCTCCAGGCGCGCCGGGTCAGCTGCCCCCCCTTCAGTTTCGCTCAGACACCCACAAACACAGGGCCCGGCCGGGGCCCCCCAGCTCTGGGGCCGAGCGGACCTGCTCTCTGCCGGACTGAAGGCTCTCCTCCCGCTGGGCAGGAGCCCTGGGCCGGGGGGTCGGGGTGGGGGTGGCCCCGGATTTGCCGCTGGTAATTTGCCCCAGTGTGATGTATTGTCTCTTCAACAGAGAGAAGCTAAAAAGTGGTCTTATTACTGTTTCTCTCTCGCCATCCCCAGGTGCCCATCAAGTGGATGGCTTTGGAATCGATTTTGCACCGAATTTACACCCACCAGAGTGACGTCTGGAGCTACGGTGAGTCGAGCCCCTGAGGCCGGTGGATGGGGCCGAGGCTCCGCTGGCTCGTGCTGTGGCCGGTTTTACAGGACCCGCTCCGTCACCGCGGGCAGTGACCATCATTGGCACCGTCACCACGGCCGTGTCTGTTCCCCTAGAAAACGGGAGAGAGGAAACTGGGGCTGACTGCCGCGCCGAATGTCACTGGAGGTGTCAGTGAGCTTGTTAGGAGAGAGGGCGATGGGAGCGATGGAGCTTGCACTGAGGCACTGCCTGGACCCGCGACATCAAACCCATCGTGACCTCTTGGCTTGAGTGTGAAGTGAACGAAAGGCAGATGACAAGCGAGAAGTGTGGCTTTATGGGTGACTGATAACCCGGTGGCTGTTGGTTCGTGTGGTGTGTGCAGCCTGTGTGTCAGAGAGGGCTTGGCAGGGATGCGCTGTGAGGCGGCGTCTGCGGGAAAATAGAGGAGAGGGCCAGCTCACGGGGACCTGATTCTCTTTGTCCCTCCACATCCCCGCCCCAGCCCCGTGCTCCGGCCCCTGAAGGGCTCTCTCCTCAAACACGCCTTTCACGTTCTGGCCTCCGAACGTGAAGGGGGCTCGCCTTTAAGAAAACTGCCCCAGCACATCCACTGACGGCGTGCCAGGCGCTGCCCGCTGTTTCGCCACCATCGGTCCCCCCATGTCACCCCAAATCTGCAGAAAGCTTGCCAAACACCTGATCCGCGTTAATCTGTGGATTAACAGCCTGTCCCAGCTTTTAAGTCAATGGAGGAGAAGCAAGGAGTCACCCCACCCCCATAAAAACGTGCAGTTGAAAGGAATTTCCAGGAGGAATTTGGTCAGGTCACAAAGACAAAGTCACAAAGGGTATTGTCCGTTTAGCGCTTTTTTTCCCCAAAGCATTATTCACTTCCCATATGCATTTTAAAAAATTTCGTGGATCTTTGTCTACCTCTTCTGCTAGAATGTAAGCTTTACAAAGACGCAGACTTCAGTGAATGAGTAAATGAATTTGTATATATACGTGGGAGTGAGCTGAGCTGCCTGCAGTTAACCACGCAGATCAGGACATAAAGTTACTCCAGTGCCTCCTTATTTTCAGTCATTTGCAAGATCTGTCTCCTCCCCCCGAGGGAGGGAAAGAAATGCCACTTTTCCCACTGGAGGTCCTGCCCCGAGCCATCTCCATCGTCAGTCACCGCAGCAGCCCAAGCCACCCCCTCCCTCGGTGACACCAAGCAGGGACCCCTCTTGGGCGTTCTCTCGGCTTGTTCTACACACTCTGATCTGCTCTCCATTTTCAAACTAGATCAGACTGTCACTTCTCTGCTTAACACCTTCTTCGCTTTTCCACATGTGTTCCACCTGAAACCCGAACTCCTCACCGGGATCAGGAGGACCAGGGATGGTCTGGCCTCCCCACACCCCCACCGCCTGGCTGCGTCCCCCTGCCTTGTCCCGGGTGCCCACTCGCCGTCCATGCTTCGTCCATGTTTGCGGAGTAAATGGAACTGTCAGACTCAGCGACTTAAACCCCTTCGAATGATTACCGCCGGTGTCAGAAAGTCAGCATCACCAGGAGCGTGTGTGTTTTTCATCTCAGTGGAAATTGTGTCATCAGTGGTTTCGTAATAGAGGAGAACCAGTCTGACTCTGTACTAGATCTGCTCTTTTGGCTTGAACCCTGTGCCCTGTTTTCTAGGCTCAGTCTTGCTGGCTCTGCACCTTTTGTGAAACAGCGTTGCCTTCAGCCTGAAATAGACAGGAGAGCCTGTTCTCCGGGCTCTGACCTGTAAGGATGTCAGCTTTTCTGCACTTATATAAAGATAACAAGTTGCAGAATAGAAAGTAACCTTTGTTTTGTGGGAGGTTTGCAGGGGGCACCCTGACCTGACCCACATGGACAGCTGCAAGAACAAAGGATTCCTGCAGCAAGAAATTTGCAACAACCAACCACACCCCCACCCCTGGCTTTTTTTATATAAAAGGAGCCTGCATTCTGACTGGAGCAGGATGGTTCTCTAAGACCTCAGTCTGCCGTCCTCTCGGTCTGCCGGCTTTCCAAAAACAGTCGCTCTTCTTTGCCCCAGCACCTCGTCTCCCGATTTACTGGCCTGTCGTGGGGCGAGCAGAACCAGCTTGGACTCGGTAACAGTTATAATCTGCTCTCCCTGGCAGCACTCTGGAATTGTTGACAATGTGAAGCTGAATTTTTAGTTGAAAAAACATATCCTGTTACTCCACTCCCTGGTTTCCACTCAAGGCAAAATATTTTAGACAATGAGGGGATCCCTGTGTCCCACTTAAGAGCTGAAAAGAGAGAATTTCACATCACCTCAGTCCCGCTCACAACCCACAGCCAGGTACACACACGGCCTTTTTCCACCTTTTGTTCTGAAACCTGAAAAGCTTGCCTTCCTGCAGGAAGTCATTATGCATCCTTAAATGGAATGTTTAAACCTAGCTCGATGAGAATTCATTGACTTGCATAGGTCGGGAAATGAGATTTTCATTCTTTCAAGTCCGTATTGACTGTGTGGTGGGAAGGACAGAAGAATTAATTTTCCTGCCCCGGACCACTGCTTTTCTTCATTTTCTGACCTTGCACTCTGCATATTAATTCGGGTCACCCGGTTTTGCGATGGCCTCTGGAAAACCCATGCAGATCTGTGATGATAAATATTAAGAGGCCAGCGCTAAAGAAACTGGGTCGCTAAACCAATTGGAGTTCGGGGAGCCCCCGGGTTCCTGCATCTGACCCCTCCCTGCGCAGTCTGGGGACCCGGCTCTGGCCCTCTGTGGTCATTGCTAGTGGCACCCAGGGCACCTTTGCTGTCCACATGGGGACACACTCCCCGTGACATATGTGTTTCTGGACCAGAGAATTCGATCGAGGGAGGCGTGGAGATGGAAGGACCCTCAGAACTTCAGGACAGTCTGAAAAAACACCAGTTCTCAAATTACTGCCGCTTTGATTTTTTTTAATCATGACGATTGGTTTTGAAATTAAAAGTGTGGGGATTTTACATTTATTACAAGGAACACGGTTTTTTTTTAATCTCCAGTTATTAAAAAATTATTATCCTTTAAAAACCCAGTTTCTAACATAGCTAGTAGGTCATTTGGAGCAGATGTCTGAGTGTGTAACTCCTGCTCCACAGACCAGGATCCGTGTGTCACCAGAGTGGTGGTGGTGTCTGGGCTGTTACTATTGAAGTTTACCGTTTTCTGGCCACTTGCCGTTTATCTGGCCTTGTCTGAGTGTGACAGCAACTTGAATCCTGTCCCAAGACCAAGCGACACTCGGAGGGTTGGAGAACTCAGGTTTATCACGCCGGCGGGCCCAGAGGAGTTAACACTCCAAGCTCTGGACCCCGTCTGCGGGTTTACACGGGCCTTTATAGGGTTTTAGGTTTTGATTAAGTTCGTGCCATATGCAAATGAGATGTTAGAAATGGACCAATCAGGAGTGGGCTTTTGGGAACCAGCGGAATTTTAGGGGTAGATGCAAATGAGGTGTTAGAAATGGACCAATCAGGGGTGACCTTTTGGGAATCAATGGAATTTTAGGGGTAAGTTTCATTTTCCCAGAAGCAAGCCATTGTACAGAAGCACAAAAGCAGGAAGGCAGTGGCCCTGCCTGGGAGGTCTTGCTGGTCCCTTTGTGGGTTTTGCCCCTTCGTGAGCGTTTCAGTTGTGTGGTCTTGTTTGAGGCTCACAGCCAGCCTCTGAGATACAGACGCTGTCATTATCCCACTTTACAGAGAGGTAAACTGAGGTGTTCAGCCGTTGAGCACAGTGCCCAAGGCCACGGAAACGTTGGCTTTTCAATATTAGAAAGAGCGTGTCAACACTGATGACTAAGACGAGGCGCCATGATTGTCATTGACTCACAGGCGTCTTCCCCTTACAGGAGTCACCGTCTGGGAGCTGATGACCTTCGGGTCCAAGCCGTATGACGGCATCCCGGCCAGTGAGATCTCCACCGTCCTGGAGAAAGGGGAGCGCCTCCCGCAGCCGCCCATCTGCACCATCGATGTGTACATGATCATGGTCAAGTGTGAGTGGCCACGCGCCCCGCCCGCCCCCCTGCACCGCAGCCAGACCACCCGGGCCTCCCCTCCCCGGGGACGTGCTGTCAGTCTGTGGCCGGGCACACCATCAGTGCCCTCCCACACTGGCTCACTGAGCGCTGGGAGCTGACCTTTGCCCACGCTGGCGACAAGCAATTGAAATCAAAGTCCTCTGGGACGGGGTTGGGGGGGGGAATAGATAGCTCAAGTGGTGGAGCGTGTGGGACCCTTGGCGTGCACCAGGTCCCGGGTTCAATCCCCAGCACTTCCACTGAAAAAGAAATTAAATAAACCTACTTACCTCCCCCCAAATAAAACAAAATAAAAATATTTGAGAACAGGGCCTTTAAAAAGAAAAAAAAAATCCTTCATGCACCACGACACCAAAATATTCTCCCGCTGAGCTGCTCAGTGGAAAAAGCACCCCCACATTTTGGAATCTGTTACCCGAGCATTTTGGAATCTGTTACCCAAGAGACCGAGTGTTTTCAAATGCCTAACAATGAGGAACCACGTGAGGTTTACAGAATCAGCACTTCTGCTTTAGCTTAAACCTTCAAGGGCGGGTGGATTTAGGTGCGGTCTCCCACAGTGCAGCAAGTAAAAACTGTCATCCACACAAGAGCGTGTGGCTTGACTGTGATGCCACAGGGTCATCGGATCGCCAGTTCCATGGGCTCGAAGCTGCCATGACACGTGTGACAGGCATTCGCCCAAGAAGGCAGCACAGGGAGCTTATGGGGCCAAGTTCGTGTAAATATTGAGTCTCTCTGCACTTGGGAGCGCAGAGATCTTCGGTTTTAACTTCCTTGCTTTGGGTTGAGGAAGCGGGGATCCAGAGAGGTGACACGATCGGTCTAAAGTCACAAAGCTCTCTGGCTTAAACTGGCTTGACATCCTGCGGATAGAAGATAAAGACGGACCCCCCGGATTGTGAGGGTTTCCAGGTGACAGCTGTTCCTCCAGAGTGTTTAGTCCAGACTTGGGCCATTGTGCCACCAAATGCACTGGCACGACCGAGAGACAGAGCCTCCCCCGGGAGGGCACCGAGCGCCCCCCGGGAGCACCTGTGATGGCCGAGCACGTACCACAACGAAAGCAGCAGGGTGTGGCGCCCCCAAACCCCGAGGTTCCTAAAGGAAACTCCCTACATTTCCCTAAGCTGAGCCTGCTTCCCAGCTTACAGGGCTGCCGAGTGAACACGGGTGAGGCTGAATGTCAAGTGCGGACGGTGACCGAGTCCGGACGCCCTACCGCCGCGACAGTTCACAGCCAGCGATGCGTGTCATGTCGTTAGGCTTCTGGGTCACTTACGGTGGTGCCACCAGGATGCTGGCCCCCGGAAGAGGAGGCGTAGAAAATGAGAGCATTTTCTTGCCGTTTTGACTCAAACATATTGTGTCACCGTGGTCTTTAAACAGCGGTCAGTGCTAGTTTGCCAGGGCTGAAAAGTCTGTCACAGAGATTCGGTCCCGTCCTCATTTGTTGGTCTAAAGGAGTCTCACCCCAAATGCTTTCCTTCCGTGATGCCGTCCGTATCATTTCTCTCAGGGTTGTAACTGTGCTGTGCTCTTCTCCCCAGGCTGGATGATCGATGCTGACAGTCGCCCGAAGTTCCGTGAGCTGATCATCGAGTTCACCAAGATGGCCCGGGACCCCCAGCGCTACCTTGTCATCCAGGTGCCAGTTCACAGTCTGCGCCCCGCCCCCACAGCGGGGAGATCCCTCTCATGAGCATCGCGTGTCGCTCTGTTCCGTCCTGTACCGTCCCCCGGTCACACCTTTGGTCTCAGTGCGCCTGGGTCAGGGCGCAAGCTCAGTGGGGCTCTTCCTGGGGCCCCCTGTCTGAGCCCGGCACACCCCATCCCCGTCATCTTCGTGGTCCAGTTGGCCAAAGCCTTATCTTAGTCTCATGAAGGAACGGGGCTCAGGACCACATTAGGTTAACCAAACCCAGCCCACAGGGCTGTTTTAATGATTCAGTGAAATAATGCATGCAAATCATTTGAAAGTTTGGCTCAGCAATTCCAGGATGTGTGTGTTGCCGGGGCGGTGGTGGGGGGCGGGGTCCCCACACCACCGAGCCATCAGTTCTGCGACACCAGCCGGGTGTCCTGCAAGCCAGCCCAGTGTGACACTGTCTACCTGGAAGTGGCATCAGACGCCACGGTCCTCCAAGCCACGCCCCTCTCCCAAATTCAGGTGCCAGTCCCAAGTCCAGGCTGTGAGCCGGGCTTCTGACCAACTGGCAGAAGATTCCGTTAATTTGCTAGGGTGGCTCTCAGAACTCAGAGGAACATCTCACTCACTGGATCACTGGCTTATAAAAGGATGTAACTCAGGAACAGCCAGATAGAAGAGGTGCCCGGGGCGAGGTGTAGGGGAAGGGCACACGCTCCCAAATCTCCGCGGGTGCACCACCCCGGAAGCTCCCTGAACCCCATCCTTCCGGGTTTCATGGTGGCTTCATTATTACATCAGCATGACCAAGTCATTGGCCACGGGCAAGAGCTCTGGCCCCCAGTCCCCACCTTTAAAACGTCTCCTCATGAGAGACACCATTCTGCATTCATCGTGTAGGAAGTTCCGAGGGTCTGGGAGCTCTGTCGGGAACAGGGGCAAAGATCGAACGTGTGTGTCTTACTGTCCATCGCAGCGTCACCGCCCTGACGGCAGAGCACACACTCAATGGATGCTCCAGCTTCGGGCTCTCCTTTTACCCCCTGAGCCGTTTGCACTTCCTTCGGGGGCTTTTGGACATCAGGGAATTTTCAGCACGTTCACCGCAGGATGGGGAGAAGGGAGGACGAGCTGTCTTTCTGAGAACAGCGGGTGGGGTTGGAGGGGTAATTAGAATTAAATCTGCATACACGCAGCACCTGCTGACGCCAGGCCCACCTCAGTAGCCGGCGGGTGGACCGGCAGCTCTCGGGGCCCTTCTGATGGTCTCAAAATCTCTGTGCCAGGGGGACGAGAGGATGCATTTGCCAAGCCCTACGGACTCCAACTTCTACCGCGCCCTGATGGACGAAGAGGACATGGATGACGTGGTGGACGCGGACGAGTACCTCGTCCCCCAACAGGGCTTCTTCCACAGCCCCGCCACCTCCCGGACGCCCCTGCTCAGCTCTCTGGTAACAGCGCCCCTCTTCCCCAAGCTCTGTGTGCTGCTTCGGACAGACTGAGTCTTAAGAGCGAATGCTCCCCATCCAGTGGAACTCAGACAAAAGTACATTTTAACCTGCTGGTAAAGCCAGAATCAGAATGAATCGATTAAGCGTGTTAATTATTTGACTGTCCTGATACGCACTAGATTGTAATCCTTTTAGGTCCCCTAAGGAGTAGAATGAAACAGAGCAAAACAGGGGGTTTTTTTAAGCTAATGAATCTAGATGGAAAAAAGTAGCTGTAAATGCACCTGCTCCCTGAGGCCCGGCTCCTGGTTTCGGGGACCGTAGGTGTGCGCCCGGGTGCGCCGTGAACAGCTGTGATTCTTTTTCAGAGCGCCACCAGCAACACCCCCACCGTGGCCTGCGTGGATAGAAACGGGGTAGGTATGGACACCTATTAACCGTTAAGTTAAGTCACCGCTCTGTACCGTGGCTCGGTTAGACATTACAAACCACCCACCTTAACCCAGATCGTCTTGAATTTCCTCCCTGTATTGTTCCCTCCCTTGACCTCTGTCCTAAGGGCGGCACTTCAGCATCCCTTGTCGCAGTGCGATCCAGAATGTGGTTCAGGGACCAGCAGTGCCAGCATCACCCCACACCTGGATCTCTGGGGCGGGGCCACCTCCCAGGGGACGGTGACAGCCACGCTTACCAGTACAGAGGCCCCTGGCCACTTGTGGCTACTGAAAATTCACTTGTAATTAAGTAAAATTAAATAAAATTTAAAATGCAGCCTCCTCCGCGGGCCCCAGCGTGGGCCCCAGCTGTGGGTGATGTCGTTAGAAATGCAGATTCTCGGGCCCTCCCCCAGACCTGCTGAATCAGGACCTGCGCTTTAGCAAGCTCTCAGGTGATGCGTGCACGTGCTGAAGGGAGCGGCGCCAGCTAGGGTAACCTCGCCTGCTCCCTTCCCAGCAGAGCTATCCCCTCAAAGAAGACAGCTTCTTGCAACGGTACAGCTCAGACCCCACCGGCACCCTGACCGAGGACAGCCTCGATGACACCTTCCTCCCGGCGCCTGGTGAGTGTCTTGCTCCTCAGCCTCCCCCGGCCAGCGCTAGCTGGCCTGCGCATCCCTGGCTGGCTGCCTCCTCCAGGCTGGCCCCCGGGTGGGCCGCGGCCGCGTGCGGACGC